TTAACAATAGGAAGTTAACTGGTAAGACAGCATATGAAAAATAGTTTAGTATTGTCTACACATTGTCAAATCCTTCTCTGACTTCTTAAAATGTGGTCACACAAATATCAAGAAAAAATTATTAGAATTATTACTAGTTGTTAAGGGTATTGATATTTCTTTGGTCAACTACCTATACTTACCCTACACTACCATACACATTTCTAAACTGATGTCACGAGTGCTCTTTCCCCCTCCCCAGGTGGGAGTCCATTCTGTGAGACTCTTTCCTCCTCCCCACATGGGAGTCTGTACTTGTTCTTCAATAAAATTTCCACCTTTGCTATAAAAATAATAAAAAACATAAAATGATGTCATTCAATTTTTTACTCTTATTTTTCAGAACAACATGATCCTTTTGTTGCATCTGCACCCTCCATGTGTATATGTATAAGATTTACTTTTATTTATTTTTAGATTTTTTTAACCATATATACATATTTTTTTATTAATTTTTTACAAAGAGGAAAGGAGAGGGATAGAGAGTTAGAAACATCGATGAGAGAGAAACATGATCAGCCGCCTCCTGCACACCTCCCACCGGAGATGTGCCCGCAACCAAGGTACATGCCCCTGACCAGAACTGAACCTGGGACCCTTCAGTCCACAGTCCAATGCTCTATTCATTGAGCCAAACCAGTTAGGGCTTTTTAGATTTTTTTAATATTGAGATATATATTTTTTAAAAATATGTGTTTATTGATTTTTTTAGAATGAAAGGGGTGGAGAGAGAAAGAGAGAGAGAGACATTGATTCCAGAGAGAAGCATCAATTGGTTGTCTCTCATACACACTCCGACTGGGGATTGAACCCACAACCTAAGTTTGTACCCTAACTGGAAATCAGACTTGCAACCTTTAGGTGTATGGGATGACACTCCAACCAACTGAACCATCTGGCTAGGGTTAAATCTATTTTTTATTATACTTTCTGCTGAATGTCCTCAGCAGTTCTTTCATTGATTAATTAATTTATTCAATAAATGCAGTAAAACCTCGATATAATGGACGAACTTGGGCGAGAGGGTGTCCCTTAAAGCTGAAAGTCTATTATATAATAAAGTAGGTCTTCCAAATGCTGCGCATATTAAAAAATTGACAAATTAGTTTACCTATTTTTACTTTAGTAGACACGTTTATGTAATTAAAATTAAGTATGTATAAAAAAGAAAAGTTTAATTTCACAGAAAAGTTTTCTGTATGTATTACAGTAATTTTAAATTTATACTGAATAGGTCTAGTAAATGATCACATTCATCAGTCATTACAAGTAAACAAATGCACACGGCTGGGGAGTGGCTTAGCACACATGGGAACATCAGGGCAAACATTAAAACTGCTGCAGAGAGAGAAATCAAGATGGCGGCATAGGTAAACACTGGAGTTTGCTGCCTCGAACAACCACTTTAACAATACAACTAAAAGAAGGAACTGACATCATCCAGAACCACAGGAAGGCTGGCTGAGTGGAAATTCTACAACTAGAAGGAAAGAGAAAAGCATACCGAGACTCAGAGGAGGCGCAGTGAGGAAGTAAAATACTAAGGTACAGAGGCGCACATGGAGTGGGCTGGTGGCTGAGGACACGGTTGTCGTTTTCAATCAGGAAAGAGTCTCAGGCTCTGAGCTCCAGTTCCGGGTGAGTCTCTGGGGACCTAGACTCATATGGGAGAAGCGGGATTGTCTGGCATCGGTCGGAACTTGAGGGCAGCTTTCTCTTGGATGGGCTTGCAGCGATTGCCAAGACACTGAGAAGCCAGGCCTCTGAGGGCAGCCATAATTGCTAGCCCCACCCTGTTGATCCCGTGGGACCTGCCTCAACTAAGCCCTGCTGGGAGGCTTTTGCTGGATAGCCTCAGGCAGAGGCTAGATTAGCACCTCCCTAGAGATCCAGGAGCCAGGGTACCCAGAGGTCAGAGTGGGACCATCCAGTTTGCAGCTCCGTGGAACCATAAAGGACACACTCAGGGGGCAGACTCAGTGAGCACCAACACCCCACTGAAGCAAGTCTTGCCCCAGAAGGGTGTCTCCAGCACAGAGG